AGTAAGGCACCTGTTACTACTAGCGTGGCACTTGTTACTAGTAGCTTACTTAAGTGGTTCAATGGAACGAACATGACGCGCCAAAGCGTCCTGCTGCAATGCATCCTCGGGGCTGTACCGCTCACGAGCATCCCACTGCCTGGGTGGTCTCTCCCATCTGCAAAAATCCCTGAACACTTTTCATTATCTCGTGCTAATATGACAGGCCTCTTGTGTTAGACAGTTCAACCACCTCCTTCCAACCCACGAACTGGAAGTGGAACATTTCAAGCTTGGTATGCAAAACGTCGTGGCTGTGGCTTGCTGGGGTTCGGGCAAGCAGCCCAGTAAAAAGTCCACAAACCTCTCAAGAGCTCAAGAGTTTATCAAACAGCAGCAAGTATTGCGATCTTCATCTTTGACATCCAGACTCTCTACATGACCTGTGGCTATGAGATGTGGGGGTTTCGTAAATGACCTGTTTCGCGCCACACCGATGGGCGCACTTTGCTTCAGAGGTCCGCAGAACTGACTGAAGCTCCTGGAGCAAGACGCTATGAATACTTTATGGTCCCTCAGGTCTTAGACTCAACTACCCCTAGCTGCTTTCTTTTCTTTCTTTGTTTCTTTCTTGAGACTCGAAAGACCTTTCTTTCATTTTCGTCGAGGCCTTAGGTCTTTTAGACTCATGTTCGATTTTTCACGGAACACTCTTCAAACACTCTGTTAGGTCTGCTCCTTGGCGCCAGGCTTCCGGATTTTTCCACGGCTGTTGGGCACTAAACGAGGATTTCCTGAGGAATCGAAGAACCTGGGCGCTGCTCGTCTCAGCCGTCCGCAAAGCGTTTCGACACGCTCGTCTCAGCTGTCGGTCTTTTTTGCCGTCACAAAGGGACGTAGAAAACTTCGCATTTCAGGAGGATTTTCCTCCAAAAATGCCGGCATCATTTGCAAAAGTCTTTGCTGTTGTGTTGTGTTCTGCAACCAGAATGCGCGTCGTCACGCAAAGGCAGTTCGTTCAACCGAAGGGAAACCGCCTTTTTGAATGAATGGGGAGTTTCTCCAGTTTCTTCGGCTCCAAAGTCAACTTGGTGGCTACTGCGCTTGGTCAAGCTCACTGAGAAGAGCAGCACCAAGCCAGTCGTTTGAACCAGCCATCCTCAGAGCATTCCACAAACATCGGTGCTTGCAAAGGGTCAAGGAGCACAACACCAGAGCCCTGATATGCCCTGCAACTTTTGTGCAAACCTCAAATGCATACATAGCATGGCATAGCTGTGGCTGTGACATTGAATGACAGCTTTGTTTCCAACTAAGGCTTGCTCCGCGTGTCTTCCTAGGAGTGGCAGCACTGAGTGATCGCAAAGAAACAGCACGAGACACGATGATGGACGATCGTGCACGATGCTCGAAATTTGTGCTGCCAGGATTCCATTCGCGCCGTTCGTGGGACGGTGGTCACCATTTTCATTACATGGATATGGTTTGAACTGTACCTGGAAAATCCGGCAGCTTGGAAGCTCAGGGGAAGTCCTAAAAAGAGCCTAAAAGTCCAAAGTACCAGAACCAATTACTGCAAAGTACCGATGAACGACTGACTTTTCTGTTTTTTGGCCAATTCCTGCCTCTGTTCTGGATTGCCTGACACAAAGGATGAAAAAGGGCATCAAAGGTCTATGTTGGTAAAGTTGGATGTCTTCGCTGCCTGGTCCTTGAGTTGAGACTCCCTCTGCCAGTGCTCTTTTTTCCAAAGTTGCTTGACTCTTATGGCCGCAGGGGCATGAGGACTGAACTCTTATGGTCAGTGCCTCCAAAACTGTAGTGTAGAAACTTCACGAATCCTGAGGCCTCATGTCAGCTGATGCTTACCACTCGTGACCATTCTTGTTCGCACGCGTAGCGAAGACTTCTTGGCCCGTTTGTAGTGTCATCCTGGGCTTGCCAGTTTTGAGCAAGCTAATGGACTCGCTAGGCTTCAAGACCCGCTTTGAGTAGTCTGCCATTCGTTGAGCTTTCTTCTCTGGCTTGCCTGGAAAGTGCAAAAGGAAATGTCCGGGTTGGAAGGACCCCGCATTTTCATTCATCACGTTGAACGCACGCATCTCAGCACCCAAGATCCCAGTGCCATTGCAACATCCTAAGGGCGAATAGGGCAAGATCACCGTCTTCTCACGACATTTTCGAGCTTTCTCTGGTGATGAATGCTTCCACAGGACGTAGACCATCGCAGATTGTTCTTCATAAGGCCTTGGTGCTGGATAAGTCTCCCAGACTTCCTTCAGGAAAGTCTCTGTCCAAGCATCATTCTTGAACATCATATGTCCAGCGTTCAAGAAGCAGAAGGGCCCTCCACTGAAGGACACATGGTTCTCACCGTTGGGGAGTAAGTGTTCCAATCGTTCATCAAAGTTCATAAAGAGCGAATCGCTGTCGATCCAGAAGGCAAAATGAACATCGGGATCCTTCAAAGCTGCCTGTAAGGCTGGGACCTTGGACCACGCGGCGACACGATCTTCGGCCCCAGTTGGTTTGGCGTCAAACCAGAATAGCTTGTAAGCATACTTCTTGGTCTCCATGCTTAAAGCTTCTGCTGCTTCCTCTTCACTCCGAAGCTTCTCATTTCGCGTTTTCAAGGCATTTTGATAGTCCACGTAGGCTGCAAAGTTCTCTTTTGCAATGGGACAAACCATGCTGTAGTGAGGGTCCTCCGGAATGCATCCGGCCACGACAGCGATAGTGGGTGAGTTCGGAGTATGGCTCACGGCATAGCTCAACAACGCGGATTCATCAGCCTCGGCACTACGCGAGGCTGTTGCCAACTGCCACAGCTGCAGGATGAAGCCCAGGAAGACCATGCGGGCAACGCGCTCTACCGGATGTTTTGTTTGTTGGCACCCGCCAAAGGAGAAACTATCGCTATGGATGTCACTAATCTTCCTGTTCACTCCACACATTCATGACTCATGACATTGGTTCCGGCCAAACGGCTGAGAATAGAGCATAGAGTCGAAGAGTCGAATCTCTGAATGTTGAACCTTTGCAAAGCTTGCAACCAGCTGAAATTCCAAAGCAAGCCGTTCCGCATTTTGCATGGTTCTGCTGGGGCCTGTCAAGCTGCCTGCTATATACCTCAGCAGAGATGCTGCAGGCACAACTTGACTGTTTGGCCATGGATTTCGGCGAAGGGGGAGGCCATTAGGTTGGAGGCCATCGCTATTAGGTTCCCTTTCTATCACGTTCCCTTTGAATTGTTGTCTTTTTTTCTTTTAGGGGAGGGTCATCTGCAATGATTTCGCCGTGATCGCCAAATATCACTCAGGTACCGCAGGTACCCCCGCCTCGTCACTGTGCACCCATGCACAACAAACCGTGGTGTTCCAAACTGAAACAAGCGCAATGGTCCCTTAGGAGCCTTCCGAAGATGGTTGTATGAGGGTTCTTGCTCCAACAAGTTGTCAATTGTTCATCATAGAAAGGATAGAAAGGTTAGTGGTCTGTCATCTCTTCTCTAAGCTGAGCAAGTAAAATATGACATATAAAAAATAACAACTTATATAACTCATGTAGTAAGCCTACAGAGTCCATTCTTTGCGACTTGATGAAGCCTTCTGTTCAAGGCACTCCGGAGGTGCGCTTGCGCAGCAAGTCTTGTGCTTTGTGGGAAGCTTTGGCCACCTGCGAAAGGATCAAGGAGTCCAAGTCATCGGCACAAGCCAATCTTATGACTTCTAAATGCACTACTAGTAGCGTCCTAGCTACTAGTAGCGATGGCCTCCACCCTATGACTTCTGTATACTTCTATCATCGTCTATCTGTCTTTCCTCTCGAAGGAAATCTCTGGCATCATTTGACCCATTGCTTCGGAACTCGGCCTTCTGAGCATTGTTAAAGAACCTTTCCTGCAGGGCTTCCAACCTAAACAATGCTGTGTCCGAAATTGTGAAACAAATGCACACCAATGCACACAGCACTCCACAAACAGCAAACAACCCCACGCTTACAAACTAGGTCCCCTTCCGCTTGTTGAGCAAGTACTCCTTAGCTGATCTTAACCCCAAAGGTCGTTCTGAAATGTTCCTTCATATGGACAACAGGTCTACATGCAAACTGCTTTTGTTTGACTGCGTCAACTACCCACTTTCGGCCATGGCATGCCATGGCCTTTTGCGGGTTTCTTCCAAGGCACTTCATGCACCAATGACTCTTCGCCAACAGAATTCGCTGTTGCTTTCTTTATGGCGCCTAATGCGGACCTGATGCAGCATGAGATTCAAACATGAAAAACAGTCACATGGCAATGCCGGCTGCCTGGCAAAATGCAGCTCAAACCTTAGTCGGAGCAGCAATGCTGTTCCCTTCTAACTTTGCTTCAAAGAGTGTCCTTTGAAACCTTTCATGCGAGTTGCATGCGCATCAGGAACGCTGAACCAAATTGTGAGCCTTGCTCAGGATCTGTGTGCTTGTAGAATCGACCTGGTTGGTGGGATTTGAGCAAGTGAGCGAAAGCGAGAAAGCGAGAAAGCGAGAAGTGACACAGTCTGGCTTCAAAAGCACAGAAGCACAGCAAAGCACTCAGCAAAGCCTGTATCTGCATCTAACAGCACAGAGTTGGGCATCGGAGAGAGCTCTCGAGGAAAGCCGGTAACACTGTCCCAGTACCGGTTGGCCTGTCAGTTGAGAGATTCACGTTTCACGCATTCATCTTACTGTGGTGAGACTTCACCAAGGACATCTGCCTGGTATATCTCCCTCCTCGACAGGACAAAGTGAAGCATTCCTCAAGCAGGCAAGGCACTTCATCCATAGCGTTCCCCTAACATCTTCTCTTGACAAGTAGATCCTCTGGCAATTTATCACTGCAGGTACCCATCCAACCGAAACCTACCATCTGATTGCAACTGGCCAAGGGAAGAGATTGAGCATCACTGAAGGCGCGTCTGAAGCTGTGGCTGAAACATTAGGCTGAAACATTAGGCAACAGGAAGCCACCGCGATTTAGCGGTCGTCCTATGTTGTCAGGGACATGGATTGCGCACCCTGCTGAGCTTTGGGAGGACATTGAACCCTGCTTAGAGGCGCACAATCAAATTAAAACATAACATATTCAACGAATCTTGTTCCTGCCCAACCTTCCCCCATCCGTTTTCATAGTTTTCATAGCTTTTTGTTGCTTTGGTTCATCTCATGGTTCATTCATACCCGCTCATACCTGTTGTCGTGCTGCACGTACTGTTGGTTCATCCCATCCTGCTTTAAATCATCTAATCCGTTCTTCTTTGTGGAACTGTTGATTTTAGGTCTAAGCCACGTTGGCCCAGGAAATGCTCCGCCGCTTCCCGGCCACTGGCGTCGGTCCACCTGGTGAAGCAAACGTAGTTTGACGTGGATTTTCCAGCAAAAGGACGTTCTAAATTTTGGGGGTAAGGGTGGAGGAATTTGTGAAGAGAAGGCGGGGATTGTAGAAGCCACGTAATAGGGAGATAAACTAAGAAGCTCGTAGTAAACGTGCTAGCTGCTCATACCAGTAGCAAGGATTTACCATTCGAGGAAAACACACAGAGTGCCTTTTGCAAAACAAAGTCTTTGGTGTCTTTGTCCCTTCCGAACTATATAAAGGAGGAAAAACATGGAAGAACACATTAGAGTATTTTTTGCCTTAATATAGTTTGCTAGAGGCCATCGCTCTTAGGTTGGAGGCCATTGCTATTAGAAACAAAGACAACAGAAAAGGAGGAAAGTTGTAAACTATGTGCTCAAAGCCCAGCAGTCGCTTTCTATGCAGCGGTGCGCAACACCTTTCGACCACGAGAAACTTGCAGGAGAAGCAGTTACGTGTCTTTGTGCCGGTTTGTCTTTTCATAGTTATGGTCATAACAGACAAGCCAATGATGTATCAATAGGTGAGCTGATGCAGTACGAACAAAGCAAGTAGACACTAGCAGTCATGTGCTTCCATCTGTGCTATTTATACTTTGACTTTATGCAGGCAGCAGCTTTCCAGCCTCGTCTATTTGTCCACAGGCAAACGAAAGGAACAATTGCGCTTCTGGATTTCTTGGAAAGCAAGGAAATATTTGGCCCAGCCTGTAGGCATTCCAGGTCACAACAAAGACTTTCGTCTCCTGAACACAGAGTTTCCAAGCTGCCTGGTTTTCCTGTAAAGAGTTACACACTTCTTGCCTCTATCTTATTCTTTATTCTTAATTACCCGTATGTTGTTTGTTTCTTCTCTGGTCTGGTGCGAATCTAGAAGCGGGTGAGTTAAAGACTGATTCACTTTCTCTCCACATGCCATCCGTCCTGCTGTTGTATCTGAAACTTCAGGGCGGCAGCTTGTGCTAGTGCTGCCCCATGCGATATGCCGGAGAAGATCCTCAGCCACTAGGATTGTCCAGTGGTTTCTAATCTTTCAATCTTTCTTCTTTTCTTATTTTCTTCTTGTTTATCTTGTACTAGTCCTCTCTGTCTCTACATCGGTTTGTACACAATGAGAGAACTAGTAAACCTCACACGCTAAAAGTTGCCAAGCGGCACTCGGTGGCTGCGTAGCTCTTGTACCTGAGGCCACAAACTCCGCACTTTGCGCTGTTGCTTTCTCTAAGCGCAAAGCTCAGCTAAAACAGCCGGTCCAAAAATGCTACTAGGAGCTCGTGGCCTTACTACTAGGAGCAAGGACGCTACTAGGGGCTCCTGGCATCGCTACTAGGAGCAAGGACGCTACTAGGGGTTGACAGCTTGAGACTCTCAGCCAGCGGCCAGGTTTGACAACAATTTGCCATGCCCCATACTGTCAGTTTCAGTCAGGTTCATGTGGTCGAATCCTTCTCAAGCGCACGGCCGGATGCCCCAAACGTGCTGAGTCTTCGAAGCAAGTGACACTCTGCAGGAGCTTGTCATAAAGCCTCTGGTCTCCCATAGGATCCCAAAGCCTGTCCTCGAATGAGAGGATGGTCCCGTACTGACTGCAAGGGTCTGATCCTACAATCGACATGGTAGCCTGAAGGATCCTGAAGGAGTGTTTCGTATGTTATTATGACCCATTGACCCGGCTCAATCCAAGGAAAGCCTTTGGGCCACACCGAGCATCCAGCTTCACCTTCAAGTAGGTGGACACTGGCAGCATCACCCTGGTCTGGCAACAGACAGTTCCAACACGTTTTCTCAAAATCTCCCAAACCCCCAATTCACATCAACTCACTGCTTAGAATGGGAACTTCACGCCCTTTTGAAGCCCTTTTGGGCCGAAAAAAATCAAAGAAACGACAAAAATTGTTAGCGATGCGCACCACCAAGGCACTGCCCTACAGACAAGTCGTCTGTCTGCTGGGCGGCACGGCGAGCGCTCATCCCGTTCTTTGCCAAGCCGGCGCAACAGATCTTCCTTGGTCGCCAAGGATGTTTGACGAGATCAAGTCAGACACGAGATGAAGCCAGTGTCTTTAAAGTTTGAGTTTCTAGTGGTCACGTTTTTTACACATGCAAATCACTTTCACACGAATAGTTGTGGACTCAAGCAATAGGCAGCGACAACCGGAGCTCATGTGTAAAGAAGTGGTGATAAACCAGTCTGACCACGTCTGAACTTATGTTTCCCGTACTAGGGTGGAGGCCATCGCTAGGAGGTTGGAGGCCATCGCTACTGGGTTGGAGGCCATCGCTATTAGGTTGGAGGCCATCGCTGCTAGCAACAAGAAGCTATACTACTTCTCAGCAATGGCTCAAGAACTGAGATCTATAGCGCAAAGGGGAGAAGCAAACGTAGATGGTGCCTTAGCTGACAGCCAACCATTTTATTGGTGCCTCTGTCCAATAGCTTTGCTTTCCACACATCCAAGTAGTCAAACTCTCAACAACGTCAATGAAATATCCAGAACTCAACTCAAAAAGAGTCTGCGTCAGGCTGCTATCGCCATGGGCATTGTCACCCTCCCAAATGAACGCAACTGCCTCTCCTGAGCGAATCGTCGGTTTGGCGCATAACGTGGACACATGGCAAGTAAGCACAAACTTCGCCAGAACACTCGGACCCTCGGTGGGATGACCTTGCCCGGAGCTGAACTGTTTAGTCCCACCTTGTGTGTCGTTCTCATCCTTGCTCATATATTTGGGGAGCATCTGGATAGGGGACTGGACAGGGGATGATCTCTTGTATCATCTCATATATCTTGGAACACCATCTGACCGCGGTTCCATGCTGGCGGAGGGACCAAAAGACTCAACACACAAACCACCGGGCACAGGCATTAGTGCAATCCCCAGGCCTTGGCATTTGCTTGGTTCATCACTCAACTCGATTGGGTCCGATTCTTTTCGAGCAAATGCAGCAGTGGATCCCCCAGGTGTCGTCCAAAATCGTCACCCAGAAATACCAAGAACAAACATATATACTACCCCCAGGTGAGTTAGTATATGTCACATGAATAGTATAAATATTCTTTGACAAACTGTCACATAAATATACATAATTAAATAGATCAAAGATGGGGTGGCCCACAGTTTGTTTTAATGCGACCTGTTTTTCTTCCGAGCTTCGGTTGCCTGAGCGGTGCAGTAATGAAGGGTGCCACGCAACATCTCCACCCCTGGCACGTCAAGCTACAGTTGAAAGCTGGCTCTGAGTCGAACAGTCGCTTGTGTCAACTGGTACTACACAGTTGAGTTTCTCTTCCCGTTTGGTGCAAGAGCCGATCGGATAGAAGAGAAACAGGTCTTCCAATGAGCCTTGCTCACATTCACAAGACATAACTCAAACATAACTCAAACATACCCAAATCTCTCCATTCAATTCCATTCGCCATTAGGTTGGAGGCCATCACTCTTAGTTTGGAGGCCATCGCTACACAAGGCCATCGCCACACAAACCTCTTCATTCCATATTTGAAACAAGAAGCTAGTAGAAACAAGTGCATCGCTACTAGTATCAAGTGCCTTTCTAGTAGTAACAAGAAGCTAGTAGAAACAAGTGCCTTACTACTAGTAACAAGTGCCCTCTCCATTCCATAATTGATTCTCCATGAATCTCCCGGTTGGCCGCTGGAAGCAGCGCCTTGAGGGTATCCGGAGCTGTGCGATCGAACCCTCTTTGCGCTCGGCGAAGGCGGATCCCAAGGGTTGCATATGGCGACCCCGATATTTCCTCACAAAGGACGCTACTAGGAGCAAGGACGCTACTAGGGGCTCCTGGCATCGCTACTAGGAACAAGAAGCTACTAGTAACAAAGGGCACGCAACTGGCTTCGGCATGCGGCACTTTCTGCAGGTCCACTTTGGAGTTCTCTCTCCCTCCATCCTCCTCCAGCTTTTCCGACATTCCGGTGCTCTGGTACTGGTGCCAAGGTGCTCAGAGTACGAGGTGCTCAGGAGCAAGGCAGTGAACACTTGACCGCCCTGCAGCAGTTCGTACCAGTCCCCGGGCAGAATTGCGGGTTCATCTATAAGGTGACCGTCATCATTGAGGAGTGACCATGCTGACCATCTGTCACTCTCCATGGGAGCACATCGCGAAGCTAAAAAACGTAAAAAGGCACTCTCAAGCCCTTCACATGAAGAGCAAGTCAGTGAGTTCTTGTATTTTTTGCAGTCTATCAGTCTATCTGATATTTTTAGACGTCCTTCCGCTGCTTTTTTGGGAGACCGCAAGCTTGTGCTTCATCTTCAGCATCTTATGGAACACGTAGAGGCCCCTCAAGCACTGCAAATCTACTTAAACTTTCGGAGATCTTACGCATAGCTTGTTTGTTCCGGGCCACTGGACTCAGAAAGGGCTGCAGGTTTACCCAAGCTTCTTGGCTTTGCCTTTGCAATCAACTGGAGCCAAGCAGCTTCAAAGTCAAATCAGTTGTGAGATCAGCAAGTCACGTTACAGGTTACTTGGACAAAGTGACGAAGGAGTCGGTCAACGAACTTGAACGAAATCAGGGTTCCCAGCATTCTGCAGGGGACGATCACACTTCTTGAGATCCGGTTCAGCAGGTTTGGAGCTTGGGAAAAATCCTAAGCTACGTTCGTAGCGTCCTTGCTAGGAACGTAGCGATGGCCTCCAACCTAAGACCCTAGTAGCGATGGGGAAAATCCTAAGCTTTGCACATCTTGATCCTTGGAGCTCCATCGAGGATCTTCATGGGAGGCACCTGATAGCATTCCCGACATGCTCGACGTGTGGTCAAGAACCTCCTACGGCTTCGCACTGCAAAAGGAGGTGTTAGAAGCATCGGTTATGCTCTCAAAGCATCTTCTGAGCACCTCTCTCTTGCTGATGGATGATTGATGAACCGAGGACAAGGCCCCAAAGATCTCCATAATACAAGCAAGTTGTTCAACCTCCAAGGCTCCCGAGGACATGTTACCACCACAAGGGCTGAAGAAACATGAGCAAATCACCTCGGGGAGAAGGAGACGTGATTCCGAGCATGTGCATGTATGGTTGGGTTTCCGGATGTTTCCGGCTGAACATGAACTTGTCATTCATTGCAAGCACTTTACAAAACGGATCAAACAACTCTATCATTCGCCTGTCTCCTGGTCTCGCTCTCTCGGGCGTTGCCTCATTCTCACCTGGGAAAAGAGGATATCCTGTGTAGAGCCTCAAGGAGGTCAGAAAGCTGTGCCATGTCAAAGAGACTCGGCCAGGGCTCCCACTCAGCCAAAATACATCCGAAAGACCACATGTCGATGGCAGTGTCATACCTCAGTTGAGTGTGGGGTGGGCTGCTGTCACGTCTGCAGTGTCAAAGTTAGCTTACTCCGGGGGGAGTGGGCTTTAAAAAGTGCGATTTTTCCCTTCTCAGCTGCCGGCGGAATCCCTAAAATCACTTCTGGAGAGCGGTAGAACCTGCTTTGAATGTACCTGCGAACAGCATTGGCACAAAGTAGCTTCTTGTTACTACTAGCAAGAATGCAGTAGTAATACTGAAAAGACACAACGGTCTACTCCTTTTTCCTACCGCTCTCGGGCCGCGACGGGCTGTCGGAATAACACCTGCCCCCTATGGAGCAGATGCCCGACGCCGCCTGTAGGTACGCTTTCGTACCGCGGCGTCTGCTCGGAGGCGTTTTGCCTCTTCAGTATCCTTCAGCGCCCACATGCCGTCCTCCATGGCCGTGACCAGCTTCTGGTTTCCCACCAGCTTCGTGAGGTCGTCCGCTAGGATCTCTTCTCCTGGAACCCATCTCACCATCCGAGACCCTCCGTCTTCATGAAGTGCCTGCCTCATCGAAGCCACGTCAATGGCCAATCTCTTGTCCTCTCCGAGCGATGTGCCATTCAGCAAGTCGTAGCCAGTCTTGGAGTCCATCACGGCTACCTGGCGCCATCTGGCCACCGACTGGAGCCAGTTCTTCAGGGAGAAGTTCTTCTCCAATGCTTCAGCCATCAAAGCCCTCAAGAAGTCTGCCTCCTCCATGGCCACCGCCGCCTGCGACACTTCCGCCGCCAGGGATGAGCGCACCACGCGCTTCAGCAGACCTGAGTGAAAGGCCAGGATGTTGACCGGAGCTTCTCCTTCTAGAACTTTAGGGTTGGCCACCAGAAGCACCATGCCACCTTGAGATCGGCCCTTGGGCATTCCCCCAAATGAAGCGTCAGACACCGCCAGCACCATCATGTCGTTGATGTGGCAACCCAAATGACGAAACACTTGGTAGTGGGGTTCCCGAGCTCTCTCCACCAAGATCTTCAGCTCTGAGAGGGCCGTCGGGTCATTGGTGCCATTCAGTTGCTGAATCCTCGAACAACCATACAGCAAATCGGCCCTCACCTGCCTCGCCAACCAGCTCAGCTGGCCAATGATGGTCCCAATCCAGGCCTTCTCGTTGGGCATCAGCGGCTGTCGGCTCTGTGGATTGGACCTCGATGGTGGATCTTTGACCTTCTTCGAGTACTCGTTCATCTGCAAGGTGATCGAGTAGTCGTCGTTCTGCCTCTCCCACCGGCCACAGAACTTGGTGTCCTCCTTCGGGTGCACCCAATCACCAAAGGTAAATAGGGACTTGAGCTGTGGCCACAACTTCTGTTCAGCTTCTTCGCTTCCAATGAATCGGACATCATCCACATGGACGGCTAGCATCGCCCAAACCTGCCCTTCAGGGTCATAGAAAGCGAACACGCCTGGTGCCAATCGAAGCTCCTTGCCGCCAATGCTCATGATGTCCCTGCTGAATCGCTGGTACCAAAGTCGAGGACTCTCAGCTAACCCAAACCCAGCCTTCTTCATACGAAAGAGGTCAGTACGTGCCCCAGGAGGTACTTTGGTTAGCAGGAACTGGCGCACAAACAGCGGGTAGTTCTTAGGTGACTGCACACACACTCTCCGGCCCTCTGGAAGATAGTCACCTTGTAGGAACGCAGCGGAGATGTCGGCAAAGTACATGCGCCAGCGAAATTGAGCTGCAACAAAGCAAAGGAAGATGTGGGCAACTAGACTAGCTGTCGGAGCATCGGTCGCATAGTCACCCGCCCTTTGATCTCGATGTCCAGCAATGACCAACCGCGCTTTAAGCTTTGCCAGAGCCAAGTCTTCATCCGTAGGATGTACATTCTTGGGATCAGCCTTGTTCACGAGAACAAATCGACTTGGCAGCACTTCAGATGCATGCACTTCCTCTTCTGGCATCACCGGAGCGAGGGCATCATGATCGAAGTAGATCTGCAAAGCATCGAGGATCGGTTGTTCGAAAGCCTTCTGCCAAGCCATTGACAGCTGCGTCCATTGCAACTCCAGCCGCATCTTTCCAGTCTCTGGTTTCTCCACATCCCCTTCCAGAACCAGTAGTAGTTGCTCAGCTGTGCACAACTCAGTCAAACCACGATGGTCGGGATGAGCGGTTGGAGCAGCTAGGGCCGCAGTTGTCTGAAAAGCCTGAAAACACTCTAGCGCATCCAAGGCTACCTCCAACCGATGAGATTGGTCAGCGTGTAGTCCATCGGCCGGAGCAATAAAGTCGGCCGCCTGCCCTTCAGCCACCAACACCTGGTAAGCGGCATTGGCTTTGAGATGCCTCCTCCACAAATCTTCCGCAGCAGCTCTTCCTTGATTCCATGTGGCCAAGATAGGGTGGTCCTTCACGGGGTCCATAGTGACGAACCGAGTGACACCTCGCGACAATTGATTCAGATGCACTGAAGCGTTCCAGCCCTTCCAGTTGATGTTGTCCACCAAGTACTCCTTGGACGCCTGGGGCGACAGGTACCCCACCTGAGTCGCCCGTAGCCCTTGTAGTCCAGGTACTTCAGAAGGAATACCTTGTGCATCTTGTGGGTGTTCTTCATCAGGGACCACGCCCGGCACAAAGAGGTACTGCCGAGGTTGAAGGTGCACTCGCCATAGCTCTCGCTGCGAAGGCGCATGCAGCCAATAGTCAGACTCACCGCTCAACCGCAGCAACATCTCACCCGGCAAATTCGCTTCCATGTAGTCACTGAGTTCGTCCAACACTTGAGCACGTCCAGGTGCCTTCTTGTAGACCTCGATGATCTCGGTACGAGTGAGAGGCCGTCGAAGCCTTCCGGGAACATCTCCCAGCGTGCGCCACTTGGCCACAGGCACTTTGGCACGAATGCATGGTGTTGGGTTCCTCCGCCGGATACCGATCCTCCTCTCACCGTCAGGTCGCCAGTCAGCCTCCAGCACATCATAGTCAACATTGATCGGTGGGCACTCCCTCAACATGTCCACCACGTACATATCATGTGAGACTTCATGGGGATTGCCCTGATCATCATAGACATTGGGCACCGCAAACATGTCAACCTCAATGAATGGCGAGTCCATTGACGGTGAAGTCTCATTGGTATCTTCCGAAAATGGGCTATAGCATGGGTCTGCACTGTTCGGCACCTCCGACTCGCCCCCTTCTTCAACGAGCTCACAATCCCGGACAGGCACGACCACCATGGCCTCCTTTTTCTCAAGCTTCGTCTTCATCTTCTTCAGGTGCTCTTGGGTCGACTTAAAGGCAGTCTCATAGAAGTCCCGCTTCTGCCTGACAGATGTCAAAGCTGGATCAACTGCCGAAGACGAAGCCACCGTAGCCCTGATAGACGAAGCTTCCGCATCCGCTTGCGTCTCGTTGATCTATCAGCTTGCCCTTGATCTGCTTTCTGTTTGATCTTCTGCGCCACCGAAATGGGTATGTCATCTAACACGGAAGTGGCACGGTGGAGATCCTCTACTCGCACGGGCTTGTCCTCAGCCGGTTGTTCATCATCACTGAACTCCATAGGCGGGTACCGTGGATCAGGATCGGCAGGTGTTGGCAAGTGTACCGGCTCATCTTCAGGCGCAATGTCTGCATTCACTCTGCCCGACTGGAGTTTCTTCATCAGGTCTTGTAGAGCTTCTTTGGTCACCTTTGTGGACTCAATCTCATCTCCAGTTGCCAATCGAACATGCTCTAGAGGTAGTCCACGAAGTTTGTACCTGTATCTAATCCACACCCGCTTGATCGCCCCGTCGAACCTTTCCACCGCCACCACCACGGCTGGTCCCACCCAAGACACTTGGTCCTGCAAGCGGCGGGCCAGTCCACGACGACTCACAGGCGGCTCGTAGAACATGACCATCGAGCCCTCCACCAGCAGTTCTAACCGAGGCAGCCTCGCCCTTGATCCAGCAGCCTTCTTCAATGCATCGCTCGCCTCCAACCACTGGTACGCCTCTGTGGCCGCTCGTCTGATCGAGCTCGCCCGATGGATTGCTTCATCCATGGTCTGAGGGTTGGCTACCTGGAACTTGAACTGACCGGCAATGGCCTCCATCAGGTTGCCCGGCAGGCTCATCTCTTTGCCGAAGATCAGCTGCGCCGGCGAAAATCCTGCTACTCGGGCCTGTAGGTTCCGAGATGCCACCGCCGAGGCCACCGCCGTCTGCACCTCCTCCAGGCCTATGATAGTCTTCTCCTTGATGATCTTCATGACCAACAGTTTCAAGACGGACCCATGCCTCTCTGCCAGTCCCATCCGCCAGGAAGCGCTTGGCGGCACCATGTCGTGGTAGATGCTGAAGGTCCGGAGAAGGCTTTCCACCTGACCTTGGAATTCCGGCCCCTGGTCCGTCATGAACACATTGGGTGCGCCGAAAGCCCTGATCCAACCATCCCTCAGCAGAGACACAGTGCTTTGGGCCGAGGCGTCCACCGTTGCAATCGCCATCTGGTAGAGCGAGAAAGCGTCCAGGACGTGGGTGACTGCAAATTTGGTCGCCTTAGCATCCCAAACATAGAAGGTGTCTGCACATGTTCGGACATTGAAGGACATGGGCCGTGCATAGGCCGCTTTTGGGGTGGTGTGTGGTGCCACCACTTGTTTGCATATCTGGCAGTCCAAGTCCTTGATGGCCTGCAAAACCACCGGCTTCGCCCCATTCTGTGACATCATCCGGGCCAGCTTATCATTGCTGATGTGTCCCAGCGCCACATGAAGGTGAGCCAGCGTGGAGCGCACCTTTCTGCTGAGTCCATTTGAAGCACCCAGGAAGGAGACGTAGTCATACCTGTGGAGGCCGTCGGTCACTGCCATCTGCTGCCTTAGCTGTCCTTCTGCCGTGGGTTCCACCTCCACGGGTACTGCCTCCCACACTCTGGTATCCGGTGTGTGTTGATGGAGCTCGACCCTCATACTCTCATTCTCATCCATCAGAGCCTCCAATCCACTCAACATCAGGCCATTGTGCCGCCAGCGTCGATCGTCTCACCGATTTCATCTTGCCCAGTTGCTGATCCCAGACCTGGACAGATCCTTCGATCGGCTGGTGTTCACCGGGTTGGCATTCACACAGGCGCTGAGGGAACATCTCAGTCGTGATGGCCGCATGGTTCATCTGCACCACTGTTGGTTTCTTGTGAGGCTTGTTCGTCACTTGATCTCTCATCCCCAGGCGACACATGTGCACTACCCGCTGGTGAACTCGCCGGCGACGGGTCATCATCGGCAGTCGCAAAGCATCAGAAGAGGCCGGTTGCTCAAGCACCACCAACCCCCCGGTGGAACATTGGAACTCCCAAAGCCAAGTGACAAAATCCCAAAATGGTAGATGTTGGCGACGGAGGTCTCTCAAGGCACTCTTCCGTTTGCGCATCCGCTGCCAGGAAGACCATGGGCCACAGGGAGGAGCCACAGTGACAACATCTGGACGTTGGGTCCTGATGACATCCTTGAGCATCTCCAGTTCATCTTCCTTCAAAAGATCCAGCCCATACAGGATGTCTTGTGGGGGCAACACGTCCCAGCAAGCATTGCGGCGGTGCATTGCCCGTTGAGAAAAACGGGCGCAGCCCGCAAAGACTTCAAACAAAGTCCAAACTTTAATCTGAGCCGACTTCGCGTCCAGGACGTCAAAGATCTTTGAGTGAGTCTGCAATGCTTTCTGGACTCCCTGAACCAGGGTCCGGCGCTGTCTCCGATTCAAGGTGTGTTTGCTCCTTCCCGTCTCCTCCTCCACTCAATCGAAGCTGAAGCACCCTGCTCATCGTCAGACTGGCCACCGTCGTCATTCACAATCTCATAGTCCGGCACCACATGGAGGGCGTCCATCGCCGACTCATAACCCGGGGTGCCCATGACGAGGTCGAGCCGGTCCATCCGACGAGCCTCCTGTTCAGCAGTCGAGGTCTCCTCCTGCATCACTGTGCCAGCCAAGCCACCTTTGGGGAATAGCACAGCTGCCTTGCCGCTCCCAGGTGGCCCCATAGACTTGCAATGTGGTTGCCGTGCAGCTTCACAATCCACCTGGGATTGCGCTTCCACCGGCGCTTCTCCACCTCCACCGCGTGCTTGATCCTCAACATGAGCAGGAGAAGCTTCCATTTGAACGTGAGAGTCTGCGACCGCAGGCTGATCATGAGGTTCATCGTGGGGTCGTCCGAGAACTGAGTCGACAGAGAAGGAAACGGTGCTTCGTCTCCCGTCAGGGCCGCTGTCCTCACCGCCCTGGGTGTCTTCTTCACCTTGTCCTTGGTCTTCGCGGGCTCCTGACTGCGTCCTCGATGTCGTTGACCCGGATCGTGCCCCTGATCTGCCTCGACTTCCTGCTCCCTGGGCATGCCCTGAGCCATCATCATCTCCTGCATTCGCACCATCATGGCTTGGATCTGTGCCATGCTCATCTGTGCCTCGGAACTCGAAGCAGGTTGATCCGGCTCCGGTGTCTTGCTGTCCCGGCCCTTGGTCATTTTGCTCAGAGTCTTGCGCCCCGGTGGACTGGTGGAAGTTGGCTTCCGCAGCATGCGATTCAATGATTGCCGCTTCACCGTCCTCATCGGATGTCTCAAGGATGCCACCCCGGTCGTGTCTTCCTCTTGGGCGGACATCTCTTCCAACTCGTTGTCCTGCCCCACGTTTTCCCATTCCTGCTGACTGAGCTCGAAGACCTCCGGATCTCCAGTCTTCCGGCGATTGGACATGGGCAAGTTCAGCAGGTGAGGAGGGGGCGTCCGGATCCCGATCCCGAATTGCTGAGCCCCGCGGATCGGACATCACCACAATCTCTTTGTGCTCTTGCATCACAAAATCACTCGAAATCGATTTCGCCGTCGTGTCTCCAAAATCGTTGATGGGAATGACGTAGTGTCCACCCTTGGATTGTTCCAGGCCATACCCCTTCACACCAAACCTTCGTGATGATACTGTGTGTGAAGCTGTGTCTATGACCAGACCCAATGCTGAACAGACTGGTTTGGACAGTAACGGTGGACACGTTCCATGCGCGACCGATATACGAAGCACACCATGGATGCCCGCTATCGCCACTTCAAGCAGAACGGCAAACTTGCTTCGAACCACTTGACCATCCCCAAAACGAAATTGTTCTGCTTCCGGGACCACCTTGATGAACCACTGCTTCTCCTTCCATTGTGGTACAATTCGGTTTATCCAAGTAGTCCCCGCCACTGTCCTCATACATCCCAAGTCAACAATCATCTTGGAGTGTTGTTGCCCAGCCAATTCGTCCAGTGCCCAAAAGATTTCATGGGTGGTCTCACCGACTGGTTCCCCCCCGTTGTGGTGCACCATATACACTCCAGCTGACACCAACGTCTCCAGTAAAGCCCAGTCTTCTTGCTGTGGCTGTGACGAAGGAAAAGTCACATTTGCGGAGTGAACCATTGGCTTCTCCTTGCGACGATATGGGCACTCTTGGCTCCAATGTCCTAGCTGGTGGCAAATGAAGCAGGGCTCCTTCTTCTGCTGTTCGGCCACCCACTTCTTCACATGTTCATTCCTCGCCGCTGCTGGACCACCTGGTGCCTCCTTCTGGAAGTATTGCCTCATCTTTTTGATCTCTCGCACTCGATTCCGGGCTTTATACTCCTGGGCATAGATCTCCGCCAGGGGTGTTGCCGTCGATGAAGTTTCAGATGTAGGTCCGGCAACTAGGACGTCGTTGAACTCATTCAGATCGCTGGCCTGTTCTCCTCTCTCTTCTTCTTCATCCATCGAATCTTCCCCCAAGGCTTCAGCCAGTTCCTCCGCCACCCCTTCACCGTCATCTTCTTCCTCCAGGATGGCGACCAGAGCGTCTCGAATACGACCACGGCGAAAACGCCCAAAGCCACCACCCCGCCCCCGTGAAAAAGGGCGTCGACGTGGAGTATGTTCAGAAGCCGATGTAGGTGGGGTCGAGGAAGATGAGGTGCCAGGCTTCTGGATCAGGTACTGGTCCTCATTATCCAATTGAGGCTCACCACGACCAATCGGGCAATGTGGTGCTCCTTCAAATTGTTCAGCCAACTCCAACATCGCTGAGATGACCTTAGTTTCATCTTCGACATCACCTCCACAAGCCGCTTTCAAGAGCGCCAAGTCCTTTCTTGTCAGTTTTGCGCTGTCGAGCAAATGGCCAACATAAAAGCAAGAACCAACTCGATAGGCGGGTGAAGCCTCATTCTCCCGCCGGTATATCTCTGCTCGATTGATGAAGCTCTCGATGCTCTCGTTGGCCAACCTCGTCAATTTCATGAACTTTTGGCGTCTCTTGTCAATCTTCTTGTTGTCCAGGAGCCTGATTATTGGTGATTTTTCCATCTCCTGCTTGATGAGTTGCACTCCTTGTTCGGAGGTCACCTCTTCCACAGTCAAGTGTTGAACGATCTTGCCTGCGCGCTCCCTCAGCTGCTGCATGAGGCGTGGACCTCGCATCTCCACCGGCAATGACTTCCCTTCCGAAGCCAACCAGAAGGTGACAGTCCTCCAGTACTGCTCCCAACTCTCACCTGGTCGAGCATAGAAGATGGGAGGGTATGTAGTGGAGATCTTCCCGGTGGTGCCTTCCTTCAAAGAACCCCCAACTGCACCACCTGAGCCTCCCGCCACCGATGGTTGCCCCGAAGGTACCAGTCCTGAGGGTCGGTTCCACTCACCAGCTGGTTGAGCTGCCGGTGACATTGGTGACATGCCATCATGCTTGTCATGCTCCCCCCGGCTGCTCGCCTCACTGCGCAGAGGATCACCATGATGAACTTGAGGACCTTCTCCAAGTTCCGCAGGTAGACCCACGGGCGTAGGCCGCCCAGCCGCCGCCCGATCACCTGCACATACACCAGGACCTCGTTCTTGTCCACCCTGAAGGCCGGATGAAGTCCGCCCCCAATCTCCACCAGCCCGTCCATCATCTTCCCGGGCTGTCTTCCAAGAGCTCGATGACCAATCGCTGGTCCCTGACCTTTCTGAATCAGTCTCCCAATTTCTGGCGAGGTCATCTCGCCATCCCCACTGATTTGGTCCGGTCCCGGACCAACCTGATTCTGAAGAGGACCAAGACCAGCTACTCCCCATGTCATCTTCTTGGGATGCACCCCATTGGGATTGGCTCCATCCACCATCAGCCCAGTATACATGTCGAGACTCCCTTGAGGTGTCTTGAATGTATTGCCAAGAGTCATTCGAACTGCTCCTCCGTGATGTTCCATTGCCACTCACCGAAGAGCTCGGAGATGACCAGTTGTCATACTTGGGCTCATAGTTCTCCTGTCCGCGCTGCCAAGGGTCTCCACCCAGCCACGGATCGGACTCCTGGCTCATCGCCTCTCCACTGGAAGCTCCTTCATCACCTCTCTCGCCACTTCGTTCCCCGCTCGCTGTTCTCCACGATCTCGGGCTTCCCGACTCAGCCTGAGCATTGCGAAGTGGCGTGCTCACCATCCTCGAGGTTCGATGAAGCCCCCTCCGATGCCGGTGGAGGAATACCGGCATCGGCAACTCCTCCGTCGAAGGCGATGAAGTCGAATCCACCTCATCAGCCGCGGCCCCAAGAGCGTCAGCCTCCATGGCTCAAGCCTACAAAAACGGCCACCAGTCTAACTAGCCTACCGCCCCTTTTCGGGGCTCCGCTACCACTGAAAAGACACAACGGTCTACTCCTTTTTTCCTACCGCTCTCGGGCCGCGACGGGCTGTCGGAATAACAGTAATGCCCTTTGTTACTAGCAGCGATGCCCTTGCTCCTAGTAGTTTCTTGTTACTTGAAACAAAAACTCTTTAAAGCCTCACTTCTGCGCACGTGTAAACCCGTTCATCTTCGAAGCAGGAAGATCCGAAATCAATGACCTGGCAGATTTTCAAGCAGCAAACACGCAGCGATTGCATGGTCACGTGGCCCAAACACAGGTTTATACTGTCTATATCGAGCCTTGATACCACTCTTCGTGGGATTTTTGAGCAGCACATTTTCCTGGGTGAACATCAGCTGCAACACGTCTGCAAACATTGGGATTTCTGTTCGGACAAACTGCTAAACTCACCGACGGGGGTCTTGGTCGGTTGCTTCTTGACGCTGCAAAACAATCCGATCAACACAGCAACTTCGTTCGACTTCCTCAGCAGAACAAGACCCTTTAAGTCAAGCCCGTCACTGGCTTCAAGTCGCAGTGAATGATGTGCTGCTTCCGCAAGAAGCGCAAGGCCTCTCCAATTCTCCAACAGAAACTACAGTTTCTTCTTTTCATTCGGCTTTAAAGGTTTTTTGATCTCCCCCCGAGTCTTCCCCCCACTTTTGCACTGTAGGTGAGGACTCCTGCAAGTTCACAGAGCCTACGAACCCCACAAAAGGCTTTCACCCATGTGCCTCCAGAAATACGGAACATGAAACAAATCATAAACAAATCATAACACCTATCTGAATCTATCTGGCATCTCGTCTGAGATCTGGATATCTTCTCAGATGGGGCTTCACTTGGCACGCTCCATACAGATGCTCACATGTCGGATGCGAAAACATGCTCGTTTTGCTCCCTCGGCCCCTCACCGCCAAAAGCTGAATGGCGAAGCGCCGGATCAGCCCCAAGGACACCTGAGAAGCCGATCGTCCACCCAGCGGTCTTCAAGCATACTAGTCGTGCCGATCGCTCCGTTCGTAGCGATGCCCTTTGTTCCTGGTAGCAAGAATGCTCCTAGTAGTAAGGACATGAGCCTGTAGTAGCGTCCTTGCTCCTAGTAGTAAGGGTGATCAAAATTCACATTCTTTTCGTTTTCTTTGGAAGTTGGAGTTTTTACTTTTCAAGTCAAACTGATGGCCAGTTCGCTTGTTTTGGCGTCTTATGATGGAAGATCACGGGTCGTAAGATCCTGACGCCCTGGAAGTTGTTGTTCCTCAGTGGTGACAGAGCAGGAGGTTCTTCAAGACAAGTCCTCCAGTTTTTTCGTTGGAACCTCTGGATTTCAGCAGAACTCATGCAAATTACAAGCACGGATGGCATGTCCAGTTGATGCAATCTTGAGTGGAGGAAGGTTCTACATTGTCTTGGTTGGGGGATCCATCTTTGAAATGTCCTGGAATAAGCGAACCGATTCAGAAGAACCACAAAGAAACGTAATGTACAGTGACATACACGACCGACATGTCTCACGCTTGTGTGCTCTGTATGATCTACATGTATGGTGCCAAGTTTCTTGATGAACTCGTAAAGGTTGATACTTAGCAGCTCAAAGGTGATGCACAAGTGATTCCTCTCACGTGGGAACAAAAGCGCGCTCTTGTTTCCAAGACCTTCTTTGTGGCGGCAGAGGTCAGTGACGTCCATTCAAGCCCAACAAGAAACACGTTTCTACTTAAGTATCTAAAACTGCCTCTTGTTGCGGCTTTATTGGGGTCACGTCAGTTCACTCCCTAAGGTGAGGCTAGTTGAATGGATGAACAGCAAGCCTGCTTCCTGTATGTCGGTCAGGCTTTGCAAGTCAGTCCTGAAGTAAAAGTAATCCATCATGTGCACCACCTGCAAAACGAGAGACACTCCGATGCATTCAAAAGGCCTTGACGTGGTTTGCGAAGTCCGACAAAAAATCTGGCCAAGGAGAGGGGAAGAATCTAGAATCTAGCTCCATCTGGCTCCCCTTTCATGACCAAAGGTCTTTTGCACTTCATCTTCATATCACAATAATTCCACAAAACATATCAAAACATCCCGCGTCTTTCGTGGAACTCCTTTAAGCTCCTTGCTCTTTTTATGGCTTTTGCAACCAGGGCACATTGGAGGTACTCTCGAGGTCGCGCTCCCGGAGATGCTCCAGGATCTTCACCTCAACCAATGCCTGTCGAGCCATTCGCAAGGACCTTTTGGACTTAATTTTCAACAAATAAAGGTCATCGCTCTTAAGTTGAAGGCCATCGCTTCTAGGTTGGAGGCCATCGCTATTAGGTTGGAGGCCATCG